TAAAGGAGCTACAGACGCAGCAGCACAGGGAGGTTTTGCAGGGAATAGATGACACGGAGGAGGAGCAGGAGGAGGAGGAGGAGGAGGAGGAGGAGGAGGCAGCTCGCAAAAAGGGCAAAAATCAGCAAATAAGATTCAGTTATTCAGTTATTCAGTTCAGCCTTTCTCCTCCAACTCCATCAGCATCTCTAAGTCGTTTGATCTCCAAGGTAAATGCTGTACATTAAACGTAATAAAACAAGTTTATTGCACTATATTCTATTGTTCAGTATTGTGTTTTTATACAATATTCGTTATTTTTAAATACGTTTTTCTTATTTAAAAACATTTAACAAAACAACTGCGGTGTTTTTTGGGTGTCCGGAACAGATTAATGGCATTTCAATTCATTGTAATGGGGAAAATGATTTGACATATGAGTAATTTGAGTTACGAGCTCCGTCACGGAACGAATTAAACTCGTAAGTCAAGGCCCCACTGTATATGGGCGTGGACAGTTTCGTAAGAATCAATTTTCAGATCAACTTCCTAAAGGAAGAGAAGGCTTGAGTCAGGGCACCTTCACCTACTTTACATATGGGGAGCCAACTTCCTACCCATCCAGAACCTTATTACTGAAAACTGTGCCAGGGCGTAGAAACCTCCAAAGCACCAAAGTTCAACACATTGGAGCCTTGGCTAAGAAAGTGAATGAGTCCAACAAAAAGTGAGTCCACAAAGTGAATGTGTCAGACACAACCTTTTGTAACTGAGATGGTTCCAATACTTTGCCTTCAACAAAATAAAAAGGGAACCTAGAGAGTGCTCACCTAGCTGATAATTAAAATAAAGCTTGATGAAAGATAACTGTGTGATGTGGGTTATAATTCAGGAACTTAAAAAACTAGTAAATATACTATATAACACAGTTCCCACTACTTCCATCTTCTTACCTATGTGAACAATAGCATTTGCATTTATAAAAACAAAACCATCCAACAAACAAAAGAGACAGAATTAATGCTAAACCCCATCTCATCTAGCTATAAGTAATTTTTTTAAGTCCCATGGTCTCATTAAAAAGATGATGAATGTTGACTACTTACTTTTAACAAATATTTATGAAAATATACATTATATACATTTCATCATTTTTGTACTAGGAATAATGGTAAATGACAATTCACTTCAAAAGAACTTTAAATCTTTTAGGATTGCATTGTCCCACTTGTGGGCTGGTTCAAATGAAATGAGCTGTAAGTATAAAATACACACTAATTTTGGAAATTTTCTAAGAAAATGAGAATGCAAAATATCTCATTAAAATTTTTATTCTGATTTCATGTTGAAATGAAATTTGGATGTACTAGATTACAATGTATTATAAAAATTAACTTCATCTGTTTCTTTCTACCTTTTTAATGAGATGAAAGGGACCAAAGTTTTGCAACCCTAGAGCTGACTTTTGGGATACTGACTTTAGAATTCAGAAAGGACATTTTGATACCGTTGTAATCAACCTAGTTATTAACAACAGGAAAGGAGCAAAAGAAAGGCCAAATATTATAGGTGTGCCATTTGTGCAGATTTCCCAGGGAGCTGCAGTTTAACACTCCCCAGGGAATCACCAGTCTATCCCCCACAGACTCCTGGGGGAAGGGACTGGACAAGGGGAGCTCAAAATTTAGGATATTTAATCCCCAAAGCAAAGGAGTTTGCTCTCTTGGTTCCTCTTGGCTGATTCCTGGCTTGCAGGGCTCTGGCTCCTGCTTCCTGGCATTCTCCTGTGCGGCCCATGGCCATGTGGATCCCACACACAATGGACTAATGAACTGCAACTAGTCTGATGCTGAACTGGACCCAGCTGCAATATGGAATGGAAACTCTGCACACTGGCTTTCTCTTTAGCTCTATCAAATCCCCAACTACACTTCTTCCAGGACTGGATTAAGGGAAATGGGATGTTTGAAACACAGAGATGAAAGTCTATACAAATAAAAATCACTTATCCTCATGTGCGAATCTCAGAAAATTCTTTTTCTTAAGATAACTGTAAGGACTCCATCCCCAGCACAATAACAACTTGATTCTCCCCTTTTCCTGTCCATAAAATTCAGATGGAAAGACTTGCTGTAGGAAAGAAATCTTAGCTTACTCATCTTACCCTAATTTGAATTAAGTATGATGGATAGGAGGGCTCCAAGCAGGGGCCTGGTAACTAGATTACTCCTTGTGTCCCACCGATTCTGGGTTGCCTAGTAAGAATGTGCCTACAGCCTGGTCAGTGTGGCTCAGTGGTTGAGAATCAACCTATGAATCAGGAGTCACAGTTCCATTCCCAGTCAAGGCACATGCCCTCATTGCAGGTTCGATCCCCAGTATGGGGCGTGCAGGAGGCAGCCAATCAATGATTCTGTCTCATCATTGATGTTTCTATCTCTCTCTTCCTCTCCCTTTCTTTCTGAAATCAATAAAAATGTATTTTTTAAAATGCACCGACGAAGCTTGTTCTGCTCTTCCTCAACTAGCTGTGAAATCTCAGACTCCTGCCCCCTTTCTCCTTTGTCCACAAAGACATATAAACTTCAACAGCCCAATGCATTGGGGTCATATTTCATGACAACCCCTGGCATGTACATCTGTAATAAACTTCGGACCTTTTCTCCTGTTAATCTGTCTTTGTTAATTTGATTATTGTAGGAAATAGGCCTCTGTGATCCATCTTCAGCATGGACCACTTTTAGAGAAAACCAACAGCCTGTGGCCAGTTGGTTACTGAAGTTTCCCAGGACAAAAAGGATGTAGGGAGGCGGGGGAAAGGCATAAGAACAAAGAACTGTATATGTGACCAGTAGCACATTTTCAAAGACTTGCCTCAGCTAAACAAAGGGAGGTGGAGACAACTAGAAAGGCCTCAACTCATTTATTTTTAAATAACCCAAAGGGAGACAATAGACCCAGGCAATGTATGGAGAAAACTGTTAACCCCATACTACTCAACCAATGAGGAACTGGGGGAGGGACTCTCACACACTAGGAATAAAAAGCCTGTGATCACCGCTCCAAGTGTGTGCCTGTTCAACCAGACAACTGATCTTGCAAGACCGCATTAAAAGTCTTGTTTTCGCCATTCCTCTGTCTTTGAGTCCATTATTTGAATTTGCACAAGTGAGCATTTCTCACAATTATTAACTGGGAAAAAACATAAAACTATTTATTTAGCCCTCACAAAGACTACTCATAAGTTTTAAATTATATGTGAACTAGGGGCCCAGTGCATGAATTAGTGCACCTTTAAAGGAACTGTGGGCCTTGAGGATAAGGTGGGCACAGGGGCAGGTCTCAGCCCATCCTCCACGCCCCCACCCAGCCCCTCCCGTCACAGCCCTTGGTCCCGTCTGCCAGCAGCCCCTCTCCCGCTGCTGCTGCCACGCTGCCGCTGCTCCTACACACTGACGGCACTGGCCCCACTCGCACCCGCTGACAGCGAAGAGTGATTGGGGCCGGCACCAGCAGCAGGTGCGAGCAGGGCCAGTAATGTCAGCAGGTGCGAGCGGCAGCTGCTGCCCCAATCACCCCTCAGAAGC